GAAAAATATTTTCGATTTTCGATTTCGATATTTTTGGATTTCTTTCGATTTCCGATTTTCGAAGATTTTTTTGTTTCGAAACATCTCTGCTTGAAATTGAACTTAAAAACACACACACATAGGAATTGAACTTGAAAAAAAATATTTTTGATCACAATGGCTATTTTTAATCTCTAATTCAAATACACTAGTATAATTCTGAATTTTATTCACAATTTTCATTAAATTTTTTAAGTTAAATAATTTTTCTAAAATTTCAATATAATCAAACTTTTTAAAAATTCACAATTAAATTTAATCTTCAATTATTAATTTTTAAATTAATAAAAGAATATATTAGCTTTCCCAATTACGTAAATCGCCAAATTTTCTTTTTTTTTCGTTTATTCAGCCACACAAATATTCTCGTAGCTCCAAAATCATTGTTCAATTAACTAGTTAATAATTATTCTCTTTCTTTTATTTTTTTCTTTCGCAATCTATCAAGCATTAACCCAATTTTAAAGTTTTCAGTCATTTTAGCTTACTTTCACTTATTTAAAAGAATTTATTATTTATTATGTAATATCCCGGAAGTAATTAGCTAGATCAATTAATAAATAAAAGACACTCGATCCCAGAAAACAATTGATAATTTTTCATATACCACACCACACTAGAGATGGGCCAGCTGAGAAAGAAGTCAGTTCGGGTCGAAAATTATCGGGTTTTGGGTAACCCGCCTGTCACTGTCTTCCTATTTCAGTCTCAAAATTAATCTACATATATTTATTTTATCACAAGTAGATTCCTTCCTATTGTCTATCAAAAAGAAACGAAAAATTAATTTTTAGACGCAAATAAGAGGGGGAGGTATATTAAAAAGAGCTGTTTGAAAACTGAAAAATCTTCGAAATCGAATAAAAACTCCCCTCAAAAATCGAAATTTCGAGACAGCTCTGATGAATAAAGAACCAAATAACTTAGTGCCTTATAATAGTTTGGAGAAACTTCGTTTGAAATTGCTAATGTGTGTCTTTATAACGAGAGTAGCTTTTTATCACATTTCAATTTATTATATGTTTGTGTGCCTTTTGAGAGATTTACAAAAAAAATTTGTTTACTATCTTTATTTTATAATTGAGAATTTAAATATCCAAACTTGTTCGCAACAATAAATGACCGTTAAAATTTAGGGAAAGAAACCGGATGTTTACAACAGTTTACAAACAAACTAATAAATCCAATCAAAATCTTTTTTCGGATCTTTTTTTTTACCTTTTAAATTCACACAATTAAGCATGCCATTCAGTTAAAAATCCCTTTTCCTATTATTTTTAGCTTTACCCTTCAAAAATTTAACTTTTAAGGGTTTATTCCAGACCTGTGCATATGTAGACACGGATTTTGGTATCCATATCCGGATATTTACGGCGGATACGGCGGATATACGCAGGCATCCTGATATTATTTGTATCCATATCCGTATCCATGCACATGTCTGGGTTATTCATTTTTGGTTATTCTTTATTTGAGAATTTAATAACAAGACGAATCCTCATAATTCACACAATTAAGCATGCCAATGAAAATCAACATAATCTTGTGATTTTTCATTACGATTATAAGCCAAAATTCGTCCAGTACTCTATAAATTTTTGAATTTTTTATTTAATATTTCATAAACTATGGAACAAAAACTGTTAAAAAACACAATTTGATCAAATAAATATCGTCGTTTTTCGACCAGAATTTAAAGAATTCTAAAGCAAAAATTCAAAAATTTTTGGAGAATGTTGCTAAACTAATTTAGGATATCCTTGCACAAATTTGGTAAATAAACATTAAATATTCGCAATTTTAGAAGCTCACGTCTAACTTACACCATAACGCCCCAATGGCTCCCGGACAATCCGTCAGTGGACAATCCTGCAGTGGAAAATCCGTCAGTGGACAATGCGTCAGTGGTCGGACAATCCGTCAGTGGACAATCCGTCAGTGACTGGATTAAATGGATATCAGTGGATTTGAAAAATATAGGAGATTTCAAAGATATTGTGGTTAAGGGGAATATAAGAAATTTGTAGTATTATTGTGGCTTTCGAGGAATTTGAGAGATTAAAATGGATTTCGGGGATTAAGTGGGATATCAATTGGATATAGAGGATTAAATGGATCTGTAGGTGGTTACACGATAAACATCAGAAAACAACCTCTCTTATTCATATATTTCCCAAAGTCTCTCCCATGATATTTATCCAAATCCAATATACTCCCATATGTTAATCATGTAAATCTAATCCATCCAAATCCACTATACCCTTCTAAATCCATCGACATTCACTTATTGAACCAAATTGCCCAATATCTTTTAAGTCCACTGATATCCTTTTAATCCAGCTAAATCTGCCGATTTCCTTATTTTTCCAAAATTTCGATATCTCTTATAATCCTTCACACGAAAAAATGAAAATTTTTGGCCGCGGTAGTTTGGGTATGGGTAGAAATTACAAATTTGTTCACTGACGGATTGTCCACTGACGGATTGTCCGACCACTGACGCATTGTCCACTGACGGATTTTCCACTGCCGGATTGTCCACTGACGGATTGTCCGGTCACGGCCCCAATACATAACCTCATCTCAACTTCCGTCCACATTTTTTTATTTTTCTTTTAACGTCATTCCCCCAAATAAATTTTATTTTCTGGAGAGTACGCGTAAATTAATCTTTGTGTTTCTTTTTATTCTTTCCAAAATTCGGGTCTTTTTCACTGTTTGAATCCCCGGCACTTTACTTTATGGATATAGAAAGGGAGAGATATATCTTTGCGACAATCCGACGCCCTTTCCTCCTTTCCTTTATTTAATTTATAATTTATTTCTTTGCCGTTTTAAGAGCTAAACAACCCTTTATTTTATTTTTTATTAATTCCTTTTTATTGTTTGATAATTTAATTTTCACTAATTAATTTGTGATAAATATACCGGATTTTTAATTTTTTTTTGAAGAAATTTTTTTCTGAAATTTTTAAAATTATAAATTCGACTTGATAAATGAATGGCACATAGAGAAGAAAGAAAAATTAGAAATTTTATTAAATTATTTTGGCTATTGTTTGTTATTTTAATTGTTATTTTTCAAATTAAATATACAGGTAAGTATTTAACCAGAACAATAAGATTTAAATTATTTACAATGAAATTTAAAACTTTGAAATACTGCCAATAATTTTGGGATCCTAGAATGATTTTACTCGTATCCTAGTCCTCGACCTAACACATTTTCGACTCCATTAATTAGAGTTGCCTTTTTCGAACCGGGCCGACGTACGATCATTTTTTCGGACCTCATTTTTATCGACCCGGGCCGTTCGAGTCTTTTAAGGGCCAAAATTCGATGTTCGATTCGATCTTCGAAACGAACCGAATCGGGCCGGCAACCCTAACATTTATGTCTATTGACATACTATAGTGTGTATTTTTTATGTAGGGTACCTTATGTACGGTTAATTGTCCTATTCTTCTAATTTCAATTAAAATAAATTCTCAAGATTCATTTTATTATTAGAAAAATTTTATTAAATATATTACATGTTTTTAAATTTATTTAAAATTGATTTTTTAAAATCTTTATATCCAAAAATAGTCTAATTTCTATGTTTATTCCTCTAAAAATAAAGATTTAATCTACGAAAAATTAATAAAAAATCGGAAAATAGTATAGGAAAGGAAATGATTTTTTTGGTTGTAATAATCAGTGCTTCGAAATTTCAAATTTGCTCGTACTCGTACTCGTACTTCGTACCACCTCTTTTTTTGGCCTCGTACTCGTACTCGTACCTCGTACCACTCTTATTTTAGGCCTCGTACTAGTACTCGTACCTCGTACCACCCCTATTTTTGGCCTCGTACCTCGTACTCGTACCTCGTACTTACTCGTACTTTAGAAAAAAAACAAAAAATCGAAAATTTTATGATTTTTGGAGTCCAGGACATCTATTTTTAAATTTTAAGAGTTGTATGTGATAATTTTTGAATATTGGAAGGCTTTGAAGCTATAAATCCTCCAATTTCATCCATTTTCTGCGCCGCAGGCGAAATTTTTGAGTTTTTTGGAGTGCAAGGACAAATATTTCCTCCGAAATGGGTCGGGCTACTCGAAATCCGACATTTTTTATTTAATTTCCATCTTTACATGGTTCTTCATCTCAAATCCCTTTTTTTCAAAAATTTTGCGAATTTTGGATGTCCTCAGATTTCTTCTCTTTTTTGCGCCGCAGGCGAAAATTTAGAAAAATTTTGAAGGTCATGAAGCCAGATTAACTTCATTTCTGACCGCCGGAGGCGAAAATTCTAGAATTTGAAAGCCAATATTTAAACTTTTTTATTTTTTCAGCGCCGCAGGCGAAAATTTTGAAAATTTCGGAAGGCCGTAGGCGAAAAAAACTCACTTTTTAGTGGTACAATAAAAAATTTTAAGAATTTTAGAGGGCCAAAAACCCATAATTTCTCCATGTAAAAATAGAAAAATTTTTAAAACAAAATTAAACTTATAAAATAAGTTATTTATGGAAAGAAAAATTTGAAAAACCCTTGCCCTCTGACAAGGCTCGAACCCACCTTTAATTCATTAACGTCTTTGGTGAAGCCTAACGCCTTAACCACTCGGCCACTCGCTCATATAACGGTGAATGAAAGGAATTAAATATATTTTTTTCGATTTTCCTATTAACATCAAGTACGAGAAGTACGAGCTCGTACTTAGGCCTCGTACCTCGTACTTTTCACTTTTTTTGGCCTCGTACTCGTACTCGTACTTCGTACCTGCTCCATTTTTTTGCTCGTACTCGTACTCGTACTTCGTACCAGGTACGAGTACGAGTACGAGGTACGAGTACGAATTTTGGTACGAGCTTCGAAGCACTGGTAATAATAAATATGAAAATTTTGAAAAATTGGTATATTGAGTTAAAAATTTAATAGAAATAGCTTAAAAATTAAAAAAAAAATTTTTAAGATGCTCAAAATGATTCAGGAGAAAATCAAGAGAAAAATAATATCCCTCTTCGATCAGAACTTCCATTAGCTACAGGAAAGTGGAACCAATTTAAAGGATTTTATACACCTAGACCTATTCCATCTAATGCACATTTTAGTGAGTTTGAATAATTGATGTTAATTAAAAAATAAAATTTTCAAAAGGGAGGGATTGAAGGATATCTTTTATTATACATAAGCATTTTAGATTCCTCAGTCAGGGCTGATAGGAATAGAAAATTTTATTCCGAATCAAAACGAAACGAAATAAATATTTCGATTAGAAACAATTAATTGGTAAAATAGTAGGGAAAGGAAGACTTAAGGAAGGAAAGATGTTTTTCGGTCCTAAGGGTATAGCTTGAAACGGGATTGACTGTAAACTGTGCCATATGTATAAAATACCATGATAAACACATAACAATTCATTATTATTTAGCATTTGCCTCTGTATGGGCTTCATGGTCTGCTTGGTGAGATCCTATTTTATTCAAAAAAATTTCAGAAAAACAATAGAAAATTAATTTCTATAAAAATATGTTAAGGTCATACTGTACAAACAATATCCAAATGCGTGTTCGTGCGTGTAATACAGTCAGAGGATTTAGCTGTTTAGGCCCAAACAGAGTACTTTAAAAACCTTTTCCTCACACTTTTGAAATTTAAGGATATCCGCCCTTGTGGAAATATTTTGGGGGAAATACCACCAAACAGACAGAGAATACAACAAATACCACTCGAACATAACACAAATCATGAACAATTCGAATTGGAAGATCCATGGGCTGAGGATAGAAGGGAGGCATTAAAGCAGCTTTATGAGAAGATTCCGAGGAGAGAAGAAAATGTTGAAAAAGGTAATGGAAGAAATTGTTCTTTTAATCTAATGAAAAACGATCGAAAAAAGGCTCTCCAATAATGAGGCAATAGATAACTCGGAAAAATATGTTTAGATGGACAGGATTTGGTATACCCTAAATAATCCTTTTTTATCCAGGATTATCCCTTAGACTTTAATTTTGCTTGAAAACTAAGTAAATTTCAGTCAAAAGACCAGAGTTATTTGCATCGAAAAATATTGAAAATATTCAAATAAAAAACGAAAATGTTGAAAATAAATTAAAAAATGAGGAAATGACTGGAAGAAAAAGTGAAGAAGAAGGAAGCGAGGAAGAAGAAAATAATGAAGAGGAAGAAAATAAATTGGAAGAAGATTTTAAATCAACAATAACAAGATTAACTACAGCAACAATTAAAACAACAACAATTACTTCCCCACAGAAAACATTTAAAACAGAATTATTTACAAACACAACAACAACGTTACCAACAACGACATTTAATTATTTAGAAAAACAAAGAAAACTTGAATTATATAACGCCCGTGGAATTACTACAAGGCATGAAATATTTTAAATTTGTATTTCAGTTAGAATATCAGTTAAGAAATATATAACACTACAGTGTTTGCTCGAATTACGGAGTAGTTTTATGGAATCCCCGGATATCCGGATCCGAACTGAAAATTTGCGGATATCCTAACCTTTTTGGATACGGATATCAGGATTAGGGTTGCCGTTTTCGAGTCGGGCCGACGGTCGAGGCATTTTTTCGGGCTTGTTTTTATCGAGTCGGGCCTGTACGAGTCGATCTTTCGGTCCGAGTCGGGCCATTTTGACACCCTAATCAGGATCCTCAAACAATTTATTTCAGTTAGAATATCACCTTGGGCAAATTTTTAAATAACTGGTTAGGAGAAGAGAATCTTTATGTGTAAGAGTCCATTATCAAAATAATTTAGCAATTTCAGTCCACAAAAACATGAAAAAGAAAGGAAGGATTTATTAAAACAAAAAATAAATAATCAACAACAAAAGGTAATCCCGGCAAATTTTGGTGGTAATGATACAGCCCGAGCTCTAGAATGGATGGTTGAAGGAATCAGTAAATCATTAGAACAACAACCTCCTCAAATCCTTCAAAATAATCATAAAAATAAATTAATTGAAAGTAAAAATGCAAAAGAAGAAAATGAACAGGAAGTTGAGGAAGAAGAAGAAAATGAGGAGGAAGGGGGTGAAGTGGATGAAGACAAGGTGAAGAACAGAAGAAGGCCTTTACTTCACTCCGGGGAATTGGAGGTGATAGATAACTTGAAGTTTAGATACCTCTTTTGGATGAAGAAAATAGGATTAGTTTAGTGGGAGGTAAAACGGCAACCATAAAGAAAATAATTAACTAGGAATATTTTTGAGATGAATAAACGGGAAAGTAAATTTATTTACTTGAGATAAATTCCAGATTGGGGAATTGAGTAGACTTGTATCTCTCTCTTCAATATTTACACCTTCCCCTTAAACTTCTCATTAAATAGGAAAATGAGGATTCTGGATATCTTATTTCTTCAACGTCTCTACCAGCTACAACCATTCCTACAACAAAAACATACTCTACTACAACAATTCAGGAACCTAAAATAAATAATGAAAAAGCTAAAATATTACAAAACAATAATGTATTAGAAGAGAATAAATTAAATAAAAAGGGAGGGAATTTAAATGCTAATCAAAGGAAGAGATTAATGAAGGCAAGTTTCAACAATTTTTAATAAAAAATAATGGTTAGGAAAAATAGTTAGGTAAAAATGGAAGGGAGAGTAACAGTAGTAAGGAGTAGAGTACGTCGAATACCGAGTAATTGAGGAAAAACTGTTTTTTTTTCGGGTTTTTTTCCGAGTAATTTTTCAAAGCAGTAAGATACTGAGTATTATCATCTAAATCCTAGTTATACTATCCACGATTCATGTTGTCTCCGGATGGAAAATCAATAAATAATATAATTTCGGGGGATTTCTGTAGATTAAGAGGATATCGAGTGATAACAGGGGAATGAGATGGATATCATTGTATTAAGCGGGATTTAAGCTGATTATAGCGAGATTTGGGTGCATAAAAGAAAAACAAGAAAAAAGAAAAGTTTAATTTTTGCTTCATAGGAATTGGTTGCCGCTCAAAAATTAAAGCAACTCCAAATTGATCAAAGTAAGGAGCGTATCCTTCAACAGCAAAATCAACAAAAACAAAAAACACAATCAACAACAATAGAAAAACAATTAACAAAATTAAAAGCTGAAATGCATGCAATGGAAGCGGTTTTGGAGAGAATGAAAAATACAGAAGGGTTAGAGGAAGATGAATTGGGAGAAGAAAAGGAAGAAGGGAAAAATAAGGAAAATGATGGAAAAGCTGAAATTAAAGTTGAAAAAATCCAAAATCATAAAAGGAATGAAGGAAAAACGGAAATAAGGAATGCTAAGGAAGTGAGTAATAATAATTATAATTTAATTAAAATATAGAGATTTATTTTGTTCTAAGCTATGTAGGTAATGATAGCTTGAACTGACATTAATTGATCGGAGTCGTTTTATCAGAAAAACTACCCGAGTAATTAGTACTAGGTACAATATACCTGCACAATTTTTATAAACTAGAGATCGGATTAAGATCGGACTCTCGCACAAAAATCATAGTTAACGCAATTGATATTTTTCGATGTAACTATCTTTTTAAATTTTTCTGAAGGTTTTTTAAACTTTTTTTTTATTTTTTATAAAATTCAACAATTTTTGATTGAGGTAATACGTATGTATCCCTCTGACCCTGGTAGTAACAATGCTAAGGATTTCTATCCGTAGCGGCATAGCTGCAGATAGGGTAGCTGCAGATAAAAAAATCTGCAGATAAAATCCGTAGTAACAATGCTAAGGATAGGTAGCTGCAGCTACGGATATTTTTATATGCAGATACCTAGCTGCAGATAGGTAAAATAAGGGGAAAGTATAACTATTAAAAATTTTTTCGCACAAAAAGTTGTCATATGGTATAGTGGTTAGTGGTCTTGTCTTATGTGTTAAATGGTAAGGGTTCGATTCCTTCCTATTGTTATAGGAGGAAAATTACAATTTATTCATTTTAATTTTTGTTTTTTAATTTTAAAAATATTTGGTTCTATTAGTTTTTTATTTTAAATAAAAATTATTTTTATTATACGGTTAGGTATACTAAATAATTTTAATTTTACCTTTCTACAATTGTTCAACTATTTTTATTCGGGCTTTATTTAAGTAAAATTTATTCCGTACCATCTTTAGGGAATAAAGATGCAACGATGATTTTAAAAATTTTAGATACCGTCAAAAATATTTTTCGGTTTTCAATCCATTTTGTGTTTTCCTTTAATCTATAGCTCATTTTTCATTTCTCCCTATTTTGGAGAAAAATCATAATTTTTTTAAAACGGAGATAAAAATTTAATTTTTTACCAAAATATAGAGCGGAGTGTTATCTAAGATCTACCAAAAAATCAAAATTTTTGACCGATTTTTTTAAAAGTTATGAATTTTTTTGCAAGGTACTATTCCTTAAAAAATGACTAAAAATGAGGTACTTTTTGGTAAAAATTGCCATAAATTGATTTTTAAATAAAAAATTCCAAAATTTATATCATTAAATAGAGGACATTCCAAACTATCTAAAAATAGTTAATTTATAATTTTCCCATTAAATCTCGATTTTTTATCTAAAATTTTAATTTGTATCTAAAAATATTTAATCATAAAAATATCTAATTTGATTTTTTAAAAAGAAAAACAAAATTTATAATTTAGAAAATAACTCGTTTTTGAAAAGGCATTTTAAACAAAAAAATTGTTCATAGTAAAAATTAACAAAAAAATATATTATGCTATAAAGCATTTTTTGAAAATTAGAATTATTTTATTCCATATTTTTATCTTGATTTAAAAAATTTTTACTATAAAATTTAAAATTAAATTAACGGAATTTTTTAAAAGGCATCGAAAAGTCTCATTTTTGAAATTTATTTTTTTTGACGAAAAAATTTTTAAAAATGAAAATTAATTTATTTTTAACTAAATTCTTTTTATTTTGAATTTTTAATAATTTTTTAAAATTTATTATAATTTTTTAAATATTTAAAATAATGCAACTATCCACCTAAATAGGAGGCTAGCGATTTTATCCGTAGCTACCCTAGCCGATACCCTATCCGCTACCCTATCCTTAGCATTGTTACTATGGATAGGTATCTGCAGCTAAAGCTACCGATTTTTTTGTTCTTTAGCTGCGGATAGTACTACGGATTTTAATCTTTAGCATTGTTACTACGGATTTATCTGCAGCTAGCGATTTATCTGCAGATAGTTAGCATTGTTACTACCAGCATGAGTGATTGCTCCTTTGTTTCAGAATAATCTCGTCGAAGGTGATATCATCCTTCTGTTTACTTTTGTTTGAATTTTACTTAATCCTCTTTGTTAAATATTAAGGAAATAAAAAATTAATAAACATCCAAAAAATTTAAAATTAATTTCAGCAATCAAATCGAGAAACAACTACAAAACTTCCAGCTACCCCAAAAATTGTTTTACCAACAAAAATTGAAAACAATAAAAACCATAGACATTTAAACAATCCTAAACCTGTTCCAATATTAATTGGAGATCAAAAAATAATAGTTTCATCAGCTGCTATACCTCAAATATCTTCTACTAAAAAGCCCTCACTTCCTTTAAATAATTCTTTTGTTCAGAAGAAAAATAAAAATAAAGAACAACAAACAATTTTAACAACAACATCAAAACCTTTACTTTTTATGAAAACTTCAATCCAAAGAAGAAATAATAGAGGAAATTTTATTTCCAATAATAACACTAATGTTAATAAGAAAATTATTTTGACTGAAAATCCTGGTGAATTTTTAACAGAATTATTTTTAAAAAAGATTTAAAGCTGAGAATTATCGGCTGAATTGAGGTAAAGTTGGCGATGCCGAGTATCCGTAACTGAGAAACCCGGAAAGTTTCGGTTCGGTTATTGGTTCCAATTCTGGATATCCGAAAATTTCCCAGGAACCGCCAACTTTATATTGAGGGTGAAAGGACGTATATCCAAATATCCTTATATTTTTGTGGATACCAAAGATTAAAAATACCCAATTTGAACCTTCTTGTTATTCTGAAATTTTAGTAAGTTTGGAAATATTTTAACGCGATTTTCATTCTTTTTTTCGGTTTAATAATTTATTAAAAATTCTTAAAATATGTATTCTTTATTTTTAAAGGTTCAATATGGCTAGATGGAAGCATCCCTCGAGTTGGTTCAACAGCCAAATGGAGTGATTGGAATGATTGGGGGGAATGTTTTTGTGGGAAACAAATGCGTTCTAGAACATGTATTTACGAGGATAATAGCTTTCAATCACAAGGCAAAAACTTTATTTTATTCCCATCTATTAAGTCAATACCGAAGAGAATTAATCCGAGTAGTTTGGAGAAAATGGGAAATTCAAAATAATTTAAAAATTTACATATCGCTAGATTATAATCCTTCCTGAACTAAATTCCTTCATTTTACAGTTTTTATATCTCAAAAATTATTGTAAAATCAAAACCAAAAGTCGGAGTATTGAGCGATTAAAATCATGTTTTGTAATTACATCGAGTGCTTTTCTATTTATGGAGGGGTTCTGCTGTTATAGTTTTATTTTTCAAACTCCCTTAAAAATTCCTTTCGTAAATATATCTAAGAATTTAGTCTTTATCTACATCCGAAAATTAGATTATATAATTTCTCTCCGTTATAATTAAGAATTTAGTCACATCCAAAAGGTAATTTCCTTATTTTTAAGGATGCTCAGGCAAATCATACGAAAGCAGGCCTTGTATATCTACCACGGAGCAATGCCCAACAACAATTCCACCCATCCCTCCTTCTAAACAACTACAATTAATTTCTAAAAAAGAAAGACCTTCCTTAAATATTTTGAGAAGAACTTCTTTAAGTATTGGGCCCTTAACAAATGTGGAAGATTTTAAAAAAGGAAATGAAGGTCAAAATCATCAAAGGCTTTCGGAGAATGAAATTTTAAGGCATAGACATCGCCTTTTTCTAGCTCAGAGACACAGAATGATGAGATATAAAAATTAAATGATTAATGTAATTTTTGGGGTAAATACCTACAATTTTTAACTGTCAGCCCCTAAAAATTAGTTAATCCTTGAACTTTAGACACGTTTCTTTAAATATGAATAACCACTGAGTGGTAAGATGTCAAATCAAAAACCACAGGCTATGTGCCAGGGATCTAGCCGCCCTATTTCATATTTTTAAAAATTGGGAATTGAATTTTTATCTCGGCTAGATCCTTGATTCGTACCCTTAATTAAAAGTTACGAAATTTTTAGCTCTAAAGGGGCTCTAAAGGGTCTCTTCAGCTCAAATTTTCAGCTCTACATGTACATAAATTTTACCAATTTACTACGAGGGCATATTTAATTAAAGCATATTTAATTTATTTAGTTATTTTATTTTTTATAACATTTTTTATATCAAAAGATTATTACGAAAAATAAATATTTAATAAACTCAAAAAATTCATAAATTAAAGAAATCTTTTACTAAATTCGTAAACTAATTTTTATAACAAAAAAGTGCATAACCCGAAATTTAAAAATCAAGTTGATAAAATTAAAATTATTTATTTAGTTAAAATTGTGTTTTTAATTTTGGATTGGCAGAAATACTGAAAATATTAAATTTAATTTTAATAAAAATTAATATTTTGAAATTCCCTTCGATTATTTTTTGATCGTTTTTGTTTAATTAAAGATGAAGTAATATTATTAGAATTAATTAAATCTCTGTTTTTTATATCAACAACTAAATCTGTCTTTTGTAGTTCATTTGGTTTATACTAGAAAATAAAATGAATTAGAATAATATTTTAATTGTTTGCTTGAAGGATTGGAATTAGTTATCAGGGCTGTGCCCCAAAAATTTTTGCGTGGAACGCCTAACGCCAAATTTTTTAATTTTTAAAACACGCCGAACGCGAAGCGCCACAAAATCGGCCAAAAATCACCCTGTTAGTTATGTTCGAACATAACTAGTTTAAAAACGATTTTTTGATTCAGACAGACTAAAAGCATTAGCGTCAGTCAAATTAGATCATTCCGACGTTAAATTTTGGATAAACTTATATTCTTTTACTCGTAGGGCTTGTAAAATCCCAGAGAGACCCGGACATAACAGTAGATGAGCAGTGGGATCAGAGCCTTTTTTAATGGAACAAAAGCATTGGGAATTGAAAGCAGTTTTGGAATCAGAGGAACATTCTAATATGATGTCCAAAACAACCAGACTTATACTTCCGATACTTCTAGTTTTTACTCACAATTTGAAAAACATTTTCAGTCTATATCAAAATTTATATAAAAATAAATATCAAAAATTACATTATCTATCCTTTCACTATCATTCCCAATCCTTTTTTGAT